CCATTGCATATACATTATTTCTTATTGTTTTTAATGACTATAATATTTTCTGGCATGAAATGAATATTTAAACATTTATTTAAAAAAAAGACATCAGTCACTGGTATCTGAAAATTTTATTATGGACTTCTTTATTCAACTCCCCAGAGCCATCACTTCATTATTTAGTATGAGAAATTTATGTGCAGAGAAAATATGCAGGTTTGTATACTCAAACCTTTCTACATTACCACTAAAAGACACATTTGTCAACTCTAATGTATCTCTTTTTTTCCTAATATATTAGAAAATTAATATATTAGTTCATTAATGTCAGTATCATGGCCAAAATTAGTGATCAGTTAACTTAAATTGCATTCACTTATTACCAGTGAGAATTTAGCATTTTTTCATATTTTAATCAATTTTGGGATTGTGTGTATGTGTATTAAATATTTATTCACACTTTTTGGCCCATTTGCCAAGATTGGCTATCTTTTACTTATTGGTCTGTATGTGCTCTTAATATATGTGATTATCTATCACCTGTTATATAAGTTATAAATATCTTGTTTTTCTTTTGTCTGGCCAAATATATTATTATTTTTGTTATATATTATTTTTAAAGTTTGTCTTTATTTTGTATTTTTCTTGGATTTTCTCAAACAAATATTACAAATAAAGTTTCTGCTTTTTTTTTATTATATACTAGAGGCCCGGTGCATGAAATTTGTACATGGGGGGTGTGTGTATCCCTCAGCCCAGCCTGCACTGTCTCCAATCTGGGATCCCTCTCACAATCCAGGACTGCTGGCTCCCAACCAATCACCTGCCTGCCTGCCTGGTTGCCCCTAACTGCTTCTGCCTGCCAGCCTGATCACCATTTAACCACTCCCCTGCCTGGCTGATCAATGCTTAACTACTCCCCTACCAGCCTGATTGCCCCTAACTGCCCTCCCCTGCAGGCCTGGTCACCCTTTACTGCCCTCCTCTCCTGGCCCAATCATCCCTAACTTCCCTTCCTTGACAGCCTGGATGCCCCTAACTGCTCTCCCTGCTGGCCTGGTCAACCCCAACTGTCCTTCCCTGCTGGCCTGGTCACCACAAACCACCCTCCCCTGCAGGCGTGGTTCCCCCCAACTGTCCTTCCCTGCAGGCCTGATCACCCCCAACTGTTCTCCTTTGCAGGCTTGGTCTCTCCCAATTGCCCTCCCCTGCTGGCCATCTTGTGGTAGCCATTTGTGTCCACAGGGGGGCAGCCATCTTTGACCACATTGGGGTGGCCATCTTGTGTCTTGGAGTGATGGTCAATTTACCTATTACCCTTTTATTAGATAGGATAGAGGCCTGGTGCATGGGTGGGGGCTGGCTGGTTTGCCCTGAAGGGTGTTCTGGATCATGGTGGGGGTTCCTTTGGAGCATGGGGTGGCCTGGATGAGGGGCTTGTGGTGGTTTGCAGGTCAACCATCCCCCTCAGCAACCAAGTGGAGACCCTGGTATATAGGATTTATTTATCCTCTATAATTGAAACTTTGTAGCCTTGAGTGGAGGCCAGGGCTAGCCAGGGTGAGTGGGAAGCTTGGGTTCCTCCATTGCTGGGGGCAACCCAAACCTTCTGCTTTCTCCAGCTCTGTGGCTGCTGTCATTTTTGTTGGCATTTATTTATTTTCTATAATTAAAACTTTGTAACCTTGAGCAGTGGCCAGGGCAGGCGGGAAGCTTGATTTCCTCCACCACTGAGGCAACCCAAACCTCCTGCTTGCTCCAGTTCCATGGCCACTGCCATATTTGTTGGATTAATTTGCATACTCGCTCCTGATTGGCTGGTGAGCATGGCTTGTGTGTGTGTAGTGGAGGTATGGTCAATTTGCATGTTTTTTATTAGATAGGATATTTAACATTATTTGTTTGGGTCAAAATCTATCACTCACTATTTATTTTTCTATTTGTAATTTCAAATATACATTATTTTAAAACATTCTTTAAGAGTAAATATATATTTTTTATTTTTACACCCCCCCCATTCAAGGTTATTAATTTAATATGCCTTAACCATACTTTCAATATTGAGGAAAATATTTAGTTCAGTCTATGATTGTCTAACCACTATGTTGTACATCTAAAACTAATAAAAAAAATAATATTGAATGTAAACTGTAATTAAAAAATAAAATTAAAAACAACTGAGTCAGAGAAATAGATATGCTATTTTGGAAATGATGGTGACAGGTACAATATAGTTAAAAATTTGATAATTTCTTAGAATAGTGATAAATACCATTAAATACTTATTGATAATTAATTGGGAATTTAATAAAACTTTCTATGATAATACAAATGAAATAATAAGGATATAAGAAAAAGAAGTATTTAATGCCAAGATTTAGCAAGCTTTATCAAAACTTAGATTTAAGGTACTTAACAGACATACATTTTCCGTGTTTGTGACTGCAATGGAAACAAATGAACTGCATGGTGGTTAAGCCTCAGTGACCTCCATATTTGTAGAAAAAGAAGACAATTTCTCAGAGGAATTTGAAAACGAACACTCTAGATGACATACTTAGAGGTGTGATTGTTATATTCTGGAGATGTGTGATGTGATAAACTGATTTCAAAATAGCCAAAGTGTGAGAATTACCTTTTCAAATCTTAAGTGACATATTGATGAGGTGTTTACTTTTTCCACTATTGCTTCCCCCTGAGTCTTTAAAGGGCAATCTGTGAAGATTACAGATATTATTTATTTTGGTCCTGAATTTATGTTTTTAAATTCTCCTTTTATTACCCAGCTATGACTGGGCTCTTTTGTGAGCGTTCCCTGGCCTCCCCACTAAAGGATGCACGACAGCCCATTTCATACAGGGGGAGAAAACAAAGGCCAGCTGTGAGGGGCAATTAATATACAACAAAATCAAAGTGGAACATTAGTGTTTTTATTTGAATAATTCAGGTTAAGAAGCAACCATAAAAAATGAAATATGTTGAAATATTTCTTTCTTTTTTAAAAATATATATTTTATTGATTTTTTTACAGAGAGGAAGAGAGAGAGATAGAGAGCCAGAAATGTTGATGAGAGAGAAACATCGACCAGTCGCCTCCTGCACATCCCCTATGGGGGATGTGCCCACAGCCAACGTACATGTCCTTGACCTGAATTGAACCCGGGACCCTTCAGTCCACAAACCAACGCTCTACCACTGAGCCAAGAAATATTTCGGCTGAAATATTTCTTAAAGTGTTCAAATAAGTGCCTGTAGGAAATTAATAAAGTGCATACACACATGCATAATTGGGTTTATAAATCAAAATAATTTAAAGTGAAACCTATAAACATGAGAAGGAATAATTAGTTTTGGATTTTGTTATAATTACAAGGGGATTTTTTTGGGGGGGGGCATAATAATATATTAATTTATATTTTGCCCAAGTTTTTAAATAGATACTTTAAAAAAAGAGTTCATTGAATGTTGCAGGCCAGACATAATTTCTTACACACTTATTGAGATTGATTAAAAGCAGCTTGATTTGTACTAAAAATCAGGATGAAGTAGCTTCTGTAAAAGTGCTAAACTAAACTTACTGATAAACAGTCAAAATACTTTATAAAAATTTGAACAAACAGTGCAAAAAAGATCAGCCTTACTAATTAAAGAGAATCCTGCTTACTTAATTATTTTACAGTGTATAACTAATATGAAACATGAATATACATTGGAAATTGTGACTAAAATAATACTGAAGGTAATAAACATTTATTGAGAGTTTATGTGTCAGGTGGAGTGCTAAATTTTACATGCAATATATCTTACATATTATTCTATTTTTGATTAGTAAAGTAGGTTATGTGTCAATAGGTAAATTTTTAAAGGTCACACATTGCAAGTTTCAAAGACAGGAATTAATTTCTGTCTCTCTGACTATAGAGCCCATTGACTGGATTATTAAATTACATTATCTAGATTACTACAATTGTTTACACAACTAAAGTGACTTTCACAGACATAAACAACCAAAGGGTCTTTCTGAAAGTTTGAACCAACAATGTTATTCCATCAAGGATCTATACTTCATCATCTTCTGGGTTTATATCATGCCCATTAAATCAATTATTTTAAAAAATAATTATTTGAAAATATTTTCTTATTTATTTTTTATTATTTTTTAGGTTATAGGTAAGTTTAGTGTGTCATGTAACATTTTCAACATATAACATATATCTTTAAATTTTTACTTATCTCTCAGAACTCATCAGCCATTCAAATTAAAGACATTATGGTAACCACTTCAATAAATAAATGCAAGTCACTAAATAAATGTAATTCAGTGCAGGAAATTAATATATATGCTCCACCCTTAGAGCAAAATATTGATAAATATTGTGTCTATTTTTTCTAATAAAACATTTAATTTCTATGACAGGCATTCTAATGGTGTCAAAATACTTCTGTGACTTTAAATTAATGAGATGTTATTATTCATGTATGTCTGTACTCCTCACTAATTATGCTTTTATTGCTCCAACAAATAACATATTGACAAAGATAGAGAATATATATATACATTTAATTTTATTGATTATGGTATCACATAATTGTCCTCACCCCCCCATTCCCATCCCATACCCCTACCCACATATGCACCCACCCTCCTGTTGTCCATGGCCACTGGTTAGGCCTATATGCATGCACACAAGTCCTTTGGTTGTTCTCTTCCCCCTACCCCACCCTCCCCTACTTTCCCTCTGAGGTTTGAGAATCTGATTGCTGCTTCTCTTTCTCTGGGTCAGTTTATGTTGTTCATTATTTCCACTAGATGTGTGAGAAGAGAATATATTTTAAAATGTGCTTTACTATGAGGCACTTGTTTAAACTTCTAGGAAATTTAGAACCAGAACTTTAGATTCTAGAAGTGAGCTCAATACTCAACCTCTACCCCACCCAGTTTTCCTGTGAGGGAGTTTGTCATTACACACACCAGTTATTCATACATACACTTACCTCGTCACCCACCTGCAGAGATGAATAACCAAAGTGTAACCTATGCAGAACTGAATTTGGCCAAGTCCACCAAGAGACAGCAAAGGAAACCTAAGGGCACTCAAAGCTGCACTCCAGTAACTGAGCAGGAAATAACCTACGCAGATTTAACGCTTGGAAATGCTTCCCGGGATCTTCAAGGAAAGGACAAGAAGGACCTCTCCAAAGGTAACTCATTCAATAGACACACAGTCTAACTGTTCTAGTGTGTGCAGCTGGGGTGCAGCGATGTGGGGCAAAGTAGGGCATTAGCTCGCATATTTTTTTTTCATTTGTGAGAATCAGCGCTTAAAGTTGGAATACAGAATTCTCAGACGAAAGCTGAGGGCTGTAAGATGTAGTCTTTGGCCAACAATTCATGGAGCATTGTATCTCCTGAAAATGCAATGGCATGTTCTGAGAGGAGGATTACAGTGGTAGAGATGGGCTTGGTGTCCAAGTTTATGTATTTGATTCTCTGTACGTAAACTGTCTAAACAAATGGTCTCTCTTTCTCCTTTCTCAGTGTTTCCTTTTCTCTTCCTGCAGTTTCACCATCACCTCCAGAGAAGCTCATTGCTGGGACCCTAGGGGTCATCTGCCTTGTTCTGATGTCCGCTGTGGTGACGATCACTGTCATTCCCTGTAAGTAAATTTTTGTAAGATTATACAGCACTTTTTCTTTAATGATCACCAGTGCCTCTAAACAGTTCATAATATTATGGAATTAGAATTTTCATTTTAAAGCATGCATTTAGAATAAATGTGGAATGGTTATTCTGAATTTAACAAATGCATAAGTAACGTAATGTTTGTAAGGAGTATTTTACATATAGTCATATATTTTGATTTCATCTCCAAGACATGCTTTAGGAGAATGAAAGACCTTATAAAGAAATATAAATTCATATTGAGATTGGTTGAACCATACTGTAAGAGATGGTGAAGTTTGGTTCTTGAGGTTTTTAAAATATTTTCCTCTAACTCTTTATTACTGTATTAATTTTTCTTGGTAAAATCAATTTTATTACAGATAATTCTTCTCCTAAACAACACAACAACAGACTTCAAACTAAAAAACAAAAATTGTTATGCTTTATTTAGATTAATTGATATTTTAATAATTATTTTAATTTTTTTTTCTTTTAGCTATTGTAATAATACAGGAGAAGAACAATGATTTGCAAATAACAAGGATCCAGAAAGGTACATAATGATTTTCAAAGTTCTGATATTAGCAAAGTTTATATTTTGTCTCTATGTTAGGCAAGACAACAACGATAATAGACTCTTTTGGGAGAACATAAATTATAAAATGAGCAATAAATGTTCATAAAATAGTTATTATAAGAGAGTGGTCCTTCTTTTGCAACATTATGAAGAAACATTAATTTTAAATTGCCACATCCATTGTTACTGCTTGGCTTAAATTTCCTACTGCTATAATCTAATAAAAGACAAGTAATTTCATCATTCTTAAAAAGTAGTTTCATTCATCGACCTTTAGGACATGTATAGAATGGATATTTTTGTTTATGTGTTTGCATTATATGGGCATATAAATTAGGGAATATCTGGCTGACCTTTTTCTGTGAGTGAGTGTATGAGAGTTTTTTGTTTTATATGTGCATAGATATATTATGTACCTATGTATTTATATCTATGTAAGTAAGTTAATTTTTATTTTTAAAACTTCAAATTGCTATTGGATAGTAATTTATAATCTTTCTTTAGCACATCATTGTGATCACTGTCTACTGGAGTGGTTTACATATTCCAACAATTGCTATTACATTAGCACTGAAAATAAAACATGGAATGAGAGTTTGCAGGCCTGTGCTTCTAAGAACTCTACTCTGCTTTACATAGATAATGAAGAAGAAAAGGTAAGATGTTAAACATTTCATATACTTTATTTAGGGCTTATTTCAGTCAATAATATATTGGTAGAATTCACATTTTTGTACATAGTTGTAGTTATTTAAAGTCTACATAAAATTCCACTTTGACTTCATACTATTTTTTATTTTTATACTACTAATCTCCAATCTTGCTTTTTATAGAAAACTGTGGTTCTATAAGTGCTTGGTTTCTAAAACAAACTTTGCCATTTAATTTTACCTTCTATCAAGGATACTAAACAAATAATTGAACAGATGGATTACAAGGGCTATAGAACCATAGAATTGCAAATCAGATCACAAAATAGAGTTTGCACTCCTTAGCAGCCCTGCTCCTGTGTATTCTCTCATCATCTCTCCTGTTGTATCACTTACCCACTGTGCTGACCTTTAATATTATAGAGTCTCTTTGCTTGCTTTTGAAACTCATAGAAATGAAATCGTACAGTAACATATTTTCTTCCTGTTTCTTCTGACTCCCATATGATGTTGCATTTCATCTATCTTGCATTTATCTGCAGCTTGTTCATTTTCACTGCTGAGTTACGTGACTGTGACATTTTAAAATCCATTCTCTCTGTTGTCGTTCACTGGGGACGTGAGTCTCGTGGCCTCCAGAATAAAGAGCCTTGCTGGGTCCGTTACTCTTAGTCATCGGCTCCTTTTCTCTGGTCCCACCTCTGCCTGGCCTGCCCTGGTTTCTCTGGTGGCCTTTCAGCAGGTGTCCTGGTGGATCACTCTCCTAGGCTTGCCTGCTGTTGCGGGGCAAGATTCCTCTGCAACACAGAGGAGGAATGGCTTCCTTGAGCCATGTCCTCTTTCTAGGTTGGCTATTGCAAATCCCCAAGTCACTTCCTTCTGTTGGGTGGGATATAAGATACCCTGTCACTCTGTGTTTCCTAATCCTGGAGTACCGAACCTTTTACTCTTTCTCATTTCACCTTTCAGGGCTCTCCTTTATTCATGTCTTTCATTAATTAGTTCCAGAATTTATGGTTCTAATTAGCAGGGAAATGAGTCTCTGACACCTGGACCACTGGATTCCATCAACACAGAAACAGGTCAATTTGGGTTTATCTGGTTAAAGAATGTTGTGAGACCCAGAGAATCTCTTCCCCTCTCTCTTTTCCTTCCTTCCTCCCTTCTTGCTTCCCTCCCTCCCTCCCTCCATCTCTCCCTCCCTGCCTCCCTTCCTTCCTTTCTTCCTTCCTCCATCCCTCCCACCCTCACTCCATCCCTCCCACCCCCACTCCCTTCCTCCGTCCCTCTCCCTGTTCCTTTTCTTTTCTTTTCTTTTCCTTTCTTTTCTTTTCTTTTCCTTTCTTTTCTTTTCTTTTCTTTTCTTTTCTTTTCTTTTCTTTTCTTTTCTTTTCTTTTCTTTTCTTTTCTTTTCTCATCTCTTCTCTTCTCTTCTCTTCTCTTCTCTTCTCTTCTCTTCTCTTCTCTTCTCTTCTCTTCTCTTCTCTTCTCTTCTCTTCTCTTCTCTTCTCCTTTCTTTCTTTTTCTTTCTTTCTTTCTTTCTTTCTTTCTTTCTTTCTTTCTTTCTTTCTTTCTTTCTTTCTTTCTTTCTTTCTTTCTTTCTTTCTTTCTTTCTTTCTTTCTTTCTTTCTTTCTTTCTTTCTTTCTTTCTTTCTTTCTTTCTTTCTTTCTTTCTTCCGCTTTCATATCATTTATTTTCTTAATTACAATCCCTTCTTTAAAAAAAAAACCTGATATCTGAGAAATAGTAGAAAATAACATTGATTTAGTCAGGTATCTAATACTTTAAATATTTGGAAACTTATTCAAAGCTCTGTTATGTTAGTTTTGTCAACGTGGATAACTACTAAATTACATGAATCAGAATTTTTTAAATTAACTTAAGAAGAATGAGACTTTTAAACATAAATATTTGGGTTAATTTTAAATCAAATGTATAAACATTTCTGAGAGTTTTTGAAAATATGAAAAGTGATTTTAATATATTTTTAATAAAAAGTCTTCATATATCTTTAGTATCAGATTAGGATAAAACAATCTTATTTTGGTCTAAAAATGAAGGTTTTTTTTTGAGAGAATACCCTACTTGCTTTAAAAAGATAAACTTTCATGATTATTATTTAAATAAAAATTCTTTATTTTGGTATAGGAATTTCTGAATTCCATACTTCCTCCATCATGGATTGGAGTTTTTCGTACCAGCAGTGATCATCCTTGGATGCTGATAAATGGTTCAACTTTCAAACTAAAGTAAGTTTTAAATGCTATATAAAAGGAAAATTCAAAAAAAGAAAAATTCTGGAGTATTATTGATGTTTTTGTTTAAGGCGAATTATACACATGAAGAATGATTGTCAAAGTTGATGAAATATTGATATAAATATTAAAAAATGACTAATTTTCCTAATAACCAACTCTTACTTATTTTCTATAAAAAATATCATTACCCATTTTCAAAATATTCTCTGATTGCAGTTATATGGAAAATGCTATTTATTGCTTCATAGATTGGCCCCAAACAATAACAACAAAATAATGCATTTTTCTCCATTACAGAATAAAAGACTTATCATCTGGTAAAGGTGACTGTGCTTTGCTAAACCTATATGACCTCACCTCAGGAAATTGTGGAGATCCAAAAATATTTAGCTGCAAGCATAAGCTTCAGAGTTAAAACGCCTGAGTTTGGATTCTGTTGGGTAACTTTATTTTTATAAAATGAAAATAACATTATGATTGCATATATCTTCAAATGAATTATATCACTTGTTCTAATTTATGAAATAATTTTCTATAACAATTTTTGGACAATAACATACACATCCAAAAGTGCATATATTCATTGCTTTTAGTGTCTGATGTGTTTTGCTCAACCTTATATTGTGGCATTCAACATTTCTAAAAGATCTTATGTTGTGTGAGTCATGTTATATGTGTTATCAAGAATAGGCTAACCCACAGAGGCAGAAAGTAGGTTAATGGTTGCCAAAGATTGAAGGGAGATAGGAATAATAAACAATGCTAATTGGTGCACTGTTACTTTTGGGGGCCGGGCACTTTCTAAATTTTGTTAGTAGTGATAGTTGCAAACTCGATTGAATATACTAAAAATCACTAACATATATACTCTACATGAATGATTTTTTTTCTTTTGCTTTGTAAATTAAACCTCAGTGCAGCTGTTAAAAAAAACAAAACTTAAGGTTATGTTAGAGGCTGCATTTAAACTTTAAATAATTTATGAAGATCTCATTTTACAATATTGATTCTTTGAATCAATATCATGCTTTATTAGGCTTTCTTTAATTTCTCTACTATGTTTAAAAATTTTCTATGTTGAAGTCAAAGAAATATGATTCTTCTATAGTTATGATTTTGTAAATGGTATACTTATTTAAAAATTTCTTTAGTAATTTTTGCTGCTTTAAACATAACTGTAGTTGAGGTTTGCTATTGATTTTTCTATTAATCTTATCATTTCAAATATACGTTCTTCCACATAGTTTATATAAAGAGTTATTTTATTTCTTCATCCCTGGTGTAATTATTTTCTTTTCTTGACTTATTTTCATAGGTTACAGTTTTATTTCTAATGTTGAATAGTAAGGATAGTAAAAGTGCTGTATGTATCCTCTATTTTTTTAAAATATTTCTTTTTTAAAAAAAATATATTTTATTGATTTTTTACAGAGAGAAAGAGAGAGGGATAGAAAGTTAGAAACATTGATGAGAGAGAAATATCGATCAGCTGCCTCTTGTACACCTTCCACTAAGGTACATGCCCTTGACCAGAATCAAACCTGGGACCTTTCAGTCCACAGGCCAATGCTCTATCCACTGAGCCAAACCGGTTTTGGCTGTATCCTCTATTTTTGGAGACCATATTTAAATATTTCATCCTTAAGTATGAGGTTTGTTTTAAAGTTTTTTTTTTTTATCAGACCTTTCTCATATAAAAGCAATTCCATAATATTGCTATTATTCAAATATATTTTTATAATGATGTTACATTTTTATTATTTTTGCAACAGTTGAAATGATAAATGTTTTCTCTGTATAATGTTTATGAAGGAAACTGCCTTTATTTGTTTTAAATGTTAAACCAACCTTGCATTTCTGAAATAAAACTGCAGTGGTTATTTCTTATTGTCCTTCTTCAAAATTCAGTGCATATATTACACTTAGATTAAGTTTTTTTTTTTTTTTTTTTTTTTTTTTTTTTTTTTTTTTTTTTTTTTTCATCCAGGTTCACAAAGAGTTGAGAATGAATATTTATGTCTTATGTACTTGACAGGTTTTTATATCAAGGCTATATTAAAAGCATTTCCTATTTTCTGGAAGCCTTTGTATAAGAGTACTGTTATATTTTTAATGTTATTTTTCATTACTGATGCTGAAACCAAAAATGTGGGTGTTCTGAGTCCCATTTCTTGTCTCATGAAAAGCGAAGAATGAAGTTGCAGACAACAAGGATTAATGGAACCATAGTGTATTGGGAGAAGCCAGTCCTGGGAGAGGAGCAGACAGGGTTCCAGGAGTAGTCTGGTGTCCAGAGCTTCCTCTCCATGTTACAGTCAGGAGTAGTTTAGTATCCAAGCTAATTAAACTCTGTTAGTCCATGTGTGGAGGCCCATGCGGCTGTAAGCCACGTGGTCATGGAGGATGTGCTCTCCAGCAACAGGAGCGTCAGGTACCCAGTGAGCTCTAAGCTGGGCCAAGGGAAGGGAGCCTGCGTTTGTTTGTTTGTTTGTTTGTTTGTTTGTTTGTTTTGTCTATGTATGCTTGCCTCACTGCCTTGTGATTGGGTATCTGTACTCTTGTTGGTCTTGACTCAGTAACATTCCTCCATTTTAAAGTTCATGCCTCTGGCTGGAACCCTTCCTTCCCACCCTGGTTGGGTTGTCTTAGTAACTCTGCCTGCTGGGTTCCTGGTTTCACTTCCTCCTCCCATGGTCCTGTCCCATCTACCTAACTTTTTTTCTGTCTCAATGCCAATGGGGTCTTGAAGAAAGCTTTGGTAGGAATGTTCATAAAAGGAACTCAATTCTTATACTACATGCTAGATATCCTGAGGTTTCCATTTGTCGCACTGCTTTTTCATTTTAAAAAAAATTTAATGTAGACATTAAAATGTACTCATAATGTGGCTTTATTATCTACTTAGTATCTATAAATAGGATAAGGCTATTCCCCTGTTTACTCTAGATAATGCAAGATTTGGGTTTTGTTAGTTTTTTCCCAGATCTTATCAATTTTATCATTTTCAATGAGAATAACTCTAACCTTGTTGATTCTCTCTACTCTTGTTTCTTCTTTTTTTTTATTTTGAATTTTTTGTGTGTTTTGCTATCTTCATTTGGATTTAATTATAGTTTTTCCATTTTTAGTTTCTTGAGATGCATGCGTCGTTTTCTTTAAAAAAAAAAAAACCTTTTATTTTTTATTGTTGACTTTAGAACAGATGTTCCATTTTCCCCACCTTTGCCCACCTCCACCTAGGCCTCACCCTCTCTCCCCTTCCCTCTGGCTATCACCACAAGCTGCCTGTGTGTGTGAGTTGTGTCTGTATGTTCTTTGGCTAATCCTTCACCTTCTTTCATCTGTCCCTCCAGGCGCCATTTCTTCTGACAGCTTACTATAAAGCCATAATTATCAAATATTGTCTGATGTCTTAAGTAGTACATAAAGCCAACAACAAAATATTCATAGAAAAAGAGGTCAAATTTGTGGTTGCCAAAGGTGGGAGGCTGGAGGAGAGAGGTATTAAAGGAAGATTCTCAAAATGCACAAAGTTCAGATATTAGGCAAATAAGTAAGAGAGATATAATGTACAACATGACTATAGCTAACACTGCTATAAGTGATGCAGTAGTTTCCGTGTCTGCTGGGGATACATTCAAGACTCTTAGTGGATGTCTGTAACCATGAATAATACCGAACACAAAATATACAATATTTTTTCTTATATGTATACTAGAGGCCCAATGCACAAAATTCGTGCATGGAGCGGGGGTGGGGTGGGGGAGGGGTGTTGTCCCTCATCCCAGCCTGTGCCTTCTCCAATCTGTGACATCCCTCTCACAATGCAGGACTGCTGGCTCCCAACCACTTGCCTGCCTGCTTGATTGCCCATAACCACTTCTGCTGTCAGTCTGATCACCCCTAACCACTCCCTTGCCAGCCTGATAGTCACCTAACTGCACCCTTGCCAGTCCCATTGCCCCTAACTGCCTTCTCCTGCTGGCCTGGTCACCCTCAACTGTGCTCCCTTGATGGCCTGGTCACCCTTAACTTCCCTACCTTGCCAGCTTGGTCACCCTTAACTGCCCTCCCCTTCCAACCTGATTTCCCCTAACTGCCCTCCCCTGTAGGCCTGGTCACCCTGAACTGCCCTCTCTTGCAGGCCTGTGTCGCCTAACTGTCCTCCCTTCAGGCCTGGTCACACACAACTCCCCTCTCCTGCCAGCCTGGTCCCTTCCAACTGCCCTCATATGCTGGCCTGATCACCCATAACTGCCCTCTCCTGCCAGACATCTTATGTCCACATGGAGGCAGCCATCTTTGACCACATAGGGACGGCCATCTTGTGTGTTGGAGTGACAGTCAATTTGCATATGACCTCTTTCTTATATAGGATACCTACGATATAGTTTAATGTGTAAATTAAGCACAGTGAAAAATGAACAATAATAACTAATAATAAAAGACAATGATGCACTGTAATGAAAGTTTTGTGAAAATGGTTTCTTTCTCTCTCTAAATATCTTGTCATTCTAGAGGCCCAATGCACAAAATTCATGCAAGGGGTTCTGCCCTCGTAGCCCGGGCTGCCTTGGCCCTCGCAGCCCTGGCTTCATCTGGACGGTCATCCTGCTGTTTAGTCTAATTAGCATGTTAGCTCTTTTTTTTTTTTATATAGTATTGTAGTCACCTTCTTTTTACTAATAATTATGTGAGATGATATAATGCCTATCTGATAACATAAAATGAGGTGAATGATGTAGATACTGTGATATAACATTAAGCTACTGTTGACCTGTCAGTACATCAGATGGAGGATCATCTGTTTAGAACAGTGGTTGGCAAACCATGCCTTGTGAGCCACATTAGGACCTTGAATGTCCTAATGCCACTTCTTCAAAACAGACTCGCCCAGGCCAAAAACCTATTTCTGCGCATGGGCCACGAAGTTTCAATCACACTGTACATGTAAGCCCGCACGTGGTATTTTATGGAAGAGCCACACTCAAGGGGCCAAAGAGCCGCATGTGACTCACAAGCCACAGTTTGCTGACCACTGGTTTAGGATGATGCTCAATCATCAACTCATGACAATGTCAATAGTTGGATGTCAGGAACAGACCATGCCAATGGTGAGGGATGGACAGTTTGGTGTGTGTCTGAATTATCTTATTAGTATATATTGAACATGCCAATAGAATTATTCTGATAAATTAATATACACAATCACACAGAGAGAGATTTATATAGTTACAGAAACATTTAGTGCTTTGTAAAAAAATGTTCCTGAACATGTAAAGGATATGCGAAGTCATGTGCACAGTTGACTTTATAATCTTCAAACTAGGAAGTGTGGTAACATAAAGTTCCTGAAGAATGGAGTCTCTTTCATGATTTGGATAGTTTTGCGTTTATATACATTTCAATGAGCAT